CAAAACCCAACAAATTTAGTTTACAAATTTAAATTTTAATTGTTTTCTTCAAAAACCATTTGAGTTTAAGTTATAATGTTCTCTAAGATTATAGTTATAGGTCAAATTAAATTTTGCCAATATTTATTATATGAATTGAGTTTGAGCAAATCTAAAGCAATTAAATTTTATTCTATATGTATGTATGTGTGAATAAATTCTATACCTATGTGGCTATTCTGCAAAAGAATTTTGAATTTGAACTATTGACAAAATTTTAATGGTTTATTTTGCAATTTTCAAAATTAATGCAATTATTCCAAAAATTTAAATTGTGGTATAATATTATAAGAATCTTAAGTATTATGAAAATATTTTTAGGGTTAAATCAATTGCTGTCCTCAATAGAATAATAATAATAAGAATGAAAATTTAAATTATAAGTTCATTGTCCTTCAACTTTTTAAATCTAGTACAATTAAAAGATATCTTGTGTTTAAATTAAAGTGTTATAATTTTAGTTTAAGAATATTAAGTGTTTTAAATTTGAGAATCTTTAATACTATTTTATTGTTTAAGGACTCTTGAATTTTAGTCAAAATTTTTTATTGCAATAATATGGAAGAATTTAATTATTAATTTTTTGATATTTTCAATTTATGTTGAAATAAAATTTTGGATTTTTTGAATAAATTTTGTATATTACTATAAATACCCCTTATAGGGAAAGTACGAGTAGGTGGTTCCCTTATAAGAGATATTTATACTCCGACTATTACTACAAGTGTAGACTTACTTGTTTTACTAAATACACAACTAAAGAAAATATTCTTAAACTCGAAATTTTGAATGAAAATTATTCTTTCTCAGAATAATAATACTTTGAGATCTCCGGCGAAAAAAATAGGAACAGTTTGGGAAAGGGGATGATGTAGTTCTTCTGTGATTACTATTATAATTTTTATTAGAACATATCAGAATAATGATTCTGATATGTCGCAGCTGCCAGGAAATTAACAAGAACTCTGCTCGTAATCTTACGCTTAATGATTAACTGGTTATCTCGAGGTAGCTGCAGCAAAATGACATATTTGTGTTAATTGCGATGCGATGGGCCTGACACGTCAACCAACCAACCACTGAATAACTATCAATAAGAATTGATGAAGCTCAGTACCAGCAATTCAAGCAAATTCCTAGCAATTTACTATCCTACAACAAATAAATGAGAAAACTCCTTAAAATATAGAAAATATTTCGATTTTTCAGCAACGAATTACGTTACAGTCAAATTCTTTGATAAACTATTGGACTTAAAGTAGCTATAGATCGTTTAACTGCAAAATACTTTACAACAGTCACATATCTCAAACACTTTCAATGATTATTAATGATATAACGAAGTAAATTACGAAGCAATATAAAAAATTAGGCGTAATTTTATTCACTCCCATTACTTGTACTTAAATTGAAAACATTTTTATTCTATTTCAACGCTCTCATACAATTAGAAATTTATTTAAAATTAAAGAGTAGATATATAAGGTACTACCCTATACTGAATGTATTTAGGTATATCCTGAAAATAAAAAATATGTTAAAAGAAGAATTAAAGAAAAAAAAACAAAATTCATTTAAGTGAAAATAATTTTTTTCTATTTTTCATACAAAATATTATTCGCGGAATTTATTCACTTGAACGGTACCTTTTCAAAAAAATAAAAAGAACCATAGAGAAAAATCAAAATGAATCCTTGATGTAATATGTAAATTTTTCATAGACTTCTCTCTCTCTCACTCTCTCTCTCTCTCATTCACTTTCTCTCTGTCTCTCTGTTTCCCTCTGTATTTATATTTAATTCCTCAACTCAATTGAGTTCACCTGGGATTTACTTGATTTTTAATTTACATACGTACATTGAGTAAGAAGCAACCTACCTACACCTACCTACTTAAAAAGGTAAATGAATGCTTCATTAGCATTTAATTTGTACTGACAGAAGTTAAGTTTTTTCTCTTCTTGTTTTCTCTTTTTCAAATATATTATCTTTTCTTCGAATATATTAAAAGGGTTTCACATTTCAATTCAAAAGGGTTTGAAAATGAAGTAAGAAATTTTTTTATAATGTTTTATAACAAAACTTGTGATACATTATCGCAAATAAAACGCGGTCGTATATAATAATTGCTGATTGGTATACCATGAGCTTATGGTCCGCTTGTAACAGAATAAGTTTGAATCTAGTAGCGAAAGAAATAATATACTAGCTAACTATTTAAATTACTTTCATTAAAATAGTAGAATATTTCAACTGATTGCATAAATTTGGGATGAAAACAAAGCTTTAGCATATTAGACGAGTTCAAATGTTGATTGCTTGAGCTAAGATAAATAATTATAATTTTTTTGTTGAGATAGGAATTTACTGCTACGCTTTTGCTTTTAGAGATAATTTCGGTTCAAATTGATAATTTAATTCAATACGATTTTTAAGACGAAATGAGGGCCTAATTCTAGAGGTGTTGAAAAGCTATTCGATAAAATTTTGATTTCCCTATTGAAGGGAGAAATACTTAATTCAAATATTTTGAAAACCGGAACCCTAAGATTCACCTGACCAAAGTTTACTCAATTTCATTTTATTTTTAAATACATATATATATATATATATAAAGGTCTATACAGTTCAGATCGAAATTTGAATAATATTAAAAAGGGTGTAGTAAGATGAGTGAAATAAAAAAACAAGGATCTTGAATATTTTAATTGGAACACAATGTCGGACCATCAGTTTAATTTTATTTAATTTGCAAATTTAAAAAACATGATCTATGAAACTGAAATATCAAGTAAACCATGAAAGTATTAGACTGCGAAACCTCTAATGCAATAGCTTGCCGCATTTATTTTAGTAGCGAACTTTTACCCAGAGGAATTTTTCTAACTCCTACTACTTTCCAACCAAAATCTATTCCAATTTCTTAATATCCTTTCTCGTAATGGTATTATAATCCTTTGTTAATATTATTATTATGTCAGAATTAAAAGTTTCCTTTTAAATAAATCCTTAATTTTAAGGAAATCAACTTTATGCAAATCCTTTCCGGTCTGATTAATTGCCTATTTCTTTATTCATACATTTTCTTTTTAAAATATCTGCCTTGTTTTCATTTTTTTTTGTTGTTGAAAAACCAAAACTGAAAAAGGATAAACGCATGTGACGTGAATAATTTTTCATATATACCGTTTACGTCAAAAGTACAATGTATGCGTGTATGTAAAAAAGAAAAAAATTTCATTGAAAATGAGATGAAAAATTTACAAAGTATCAAAAGGTTTGGTAGAAAAGGATTTGATTATGTTGCCCCCCCCGCTCTTTTGTTTGCTTCTTACCTTACTGTTTTGTTATTATTTTGGCATTTTTTTGTTTTTTTTTTCTGTTGCAAATGAATTAAGAAAGGTGAGATGTAATTTAGATGAAAAAATGGATATATTATTATGTAGCTGTATATAAATAAATTGTTCGACTAATTGCTGGCTTATAAACTTTGTAAAAACTTTTTAACATTTTCTTGTATTTTGTTATTTTTTGCTTTACTTGTAAATTTAATTTTGTAATATTTTGGGCAATAGTGCCACAGTACGCAAAATATCTGTAACGAAAATTATTGATTACAGCAAATTACAGCAATAATATCGGATTCGTAATCGATCGTAAAAGAGTTTTCTAAATGCGTCTTGGAAAATCTCATAATTTCAGAAACTAAAAATCTTCAACAAATTGTAAAATTAAAAATATTTCCTTAGCAAATTTAGAGTAGGTCAAATTTCTATTCTTTATAAAATTTTTGACCCCGATTTTTAGCTTGACATAGCTTCAATGACATTAAGGTACTACTGGCTTTCAAATGTTGTACGAAATAATACTGATTCTTACTGTTATATACGAATTTCCCACATTACAAGAAAAGGTTCTTTGCTTCAAAACAAAAGGTTCTGACATGGGACAAAATATGACATGGGAATATTTCATAAAGAATTTTTACTCCTTTCAAGCGGGATTTTTTTACAAAGGTAACGGAAAAATTTGATTTACTTCTGCGAATTTCGAATATTTCGTAGAAGATTTCACTCTTTTTTCAATTGGCAACACTACTCTCAACTTAAGAACACAGAAAACGAGAGTATGAATAAAAGAAGAAGAAGAGAAGAGTAAAACTCGTTCAAAAGGAGAGAAAATTTTCCTATATACAATATTTAAAATACAAAAGGTTAATTGTCGATTTAATGAGAAAGATTTTCTCATATTAAACAATATGTTAATATTATTAAGAATTTAATTTAAGCATTTGAAAAAAATAAGTAAATCTCATTTATTTTATTCTCGATTAAGTCATACGAATTAAAAATTTAAATAAGAAATTAAATAAAAATACATTGAGACAAATTAAAAGTAGAAAAGTAGAATAAAAATTTATTTTAAGAAAATTTTTTGTTAACTTTTAATTCAAGAAAATTAGTTTTGAATTTTGAGACTAAAGAATTTGAGAGTAATAAAATTGCTGGCAGACGAATTCAAATTGAAAATTTCGTTTAAAATATTTTGTTATCAATGAAAGAAGAGTATGAAATATATTAGACATTTTAATTACATTTTAAAAAATTTGATATTTATGAAATAATTTTATGATTTATGACGGCAGTCTTAAAAAAAAATACTTATTAAATCTGAATTTGGACAATTTCAATAGAGTTTAAATAAAGTACTATACAAATGTTGTATTTAGCACTATACAATGTTTTATTAGGGGATAAAATCGCAAACCCTGCGCTTAACTAAAAAAATTTTCAGTATTTTCTCTCTCAAGGCATATTTTTTGCAAAATATTCAAAAATATACTTTAAATCAAGCTATAGGTCAAAATTTTACAAAATCTCAAAAAATATTTGTTTGTCTCAATGGCCTATGGCTTATTATAATAATTTTTATTGGTAGATGCACAAAAACTATAACACTTACCTTATATAATCTGAATGTATACGATTTTCATTATTTTCGATTATATTGGTAGATTGCTGTTTAGATGAACGTTTACATTTTTCTTTGGTATTTGTTACATTAATTGTTGCTGCTGTTGTCGTTGTTCCTGGTATTGTAGTCGCTATTATTCCTGTTGTTGTTTTATCCATATTTAATTCTTAAAATTCCAAAAATTTTAAAAAATCTTATTTGCTCTTCTTAGTTTTTGTTTTTTCTAATTCTTAAACTATGATTAATCTTCTTAAAATTTTAATTATATTTTTTAATGAACCCATTTTTAATTATTTTTATATTTTATAAAAGTTTTTGTTTTCCGCAAGAATGTTAGGCTTCAGTTTGATCTGTAAAAGAAAAATTTAGAAAAAAAAATTATATTATTATAGAATTAAAAAATTAGACTGAAATTATTGATTTCATTATGATTTTATTATGATTTTTAAAATCTAATACTAGATGAAATTGGAAATATATTAGAGCAATGGTTTCAATTTCATTCCTACAGTTGAGCTTTATACAATATCAAATCAAGGAAAATAATGTAGAAATTTCGTTCTCCATATTAAAAACTATCATAACTCCACAATAAATAATAGGGGGCTTTCAAATTACATTAATATTCAATAGAAATTTAAAATTTTACAATACAGAAAAAATTGCATACTTATAAACGTTCCTTATTTAAATGAAGCTTTCCATTCCTGACTTTGTTATTATTTTGTCTTCCTTAATTACAAAATTATCAACTAAATTGAGTTCATATTAATTGTTTTAAATTATTATACTCGTAACTTATATACAAAAAATTTTCTTTAAGAAAATGATAGCTAGAATGTAAATTATAAAATTAATAAGCACCTGGATATCTACATAATGTTTTAACTTTTACTTTCATAAAGTAGGATCAATACCCCCAAATATTTTTAACAAAAGTAGTTAAATATATAGTTAGGACTACTTTGAATATTTAAATTAATTTTGCAATAACGAATGCAATAATTTCGGGTATTGGAAAACGCATATGAAACAATAATTGGAAACATTAAGTTGTTTGGTTTGTAAGAAAATTCAATTTATCTATAGGAATAATTTTAGGAAGTTCAGATAAAAGAAGTTTTACTGTGAAATATGCTGTCTCTTGTATATTGAACGAGTATGGAATAAGCCTAATAACTGAAAAAAATAATATTCAAAAAACAATGGCAACATCGGGAATATCAAAATAAATTACGTTACGACAGTATCAACACTCTCACGGCGGAGCAAAAAGATTAAGACCCCTATAAGTATGCAATTTTTTAATTACATTTATCACAAATCTAGAGTGACAAGTGAATACGAATTTATATAATACGAACTTTCTACTTATATTGCAGGCACAATTTTTCTCAGTCTATTCAAAATCAAATAATTTAAAAATGGTAACCCTACTAAATAGTATCGAACAATAATATGGGAAGAAAACCTGAGAATAATAGTAAAATAAAAACCGATTATTTTTCTCATCCATTGTTAAAAAAACAAAAAATTTTATTTCTCCAAAAATCAACTTTTAAAACCATTATTCAAACAAAGAACCTTTCAATTTCCTTTCCTTTCATTGCGAAGAATACAATATAAAATAAAATAAAGGATACCAAAAAAAAAATACTTACGAGTTTCCCAAAAAGAGAGAAAGAAAGCAAGAATGAAAAATTTTTAGCTACCTTTAAAAATTAAAAGATTAATTCGTTAATAAAAGAATCCCACAGAGATGTATTGAAGAGAAAATTAAGGGCGAACGGGCGGAACTAAATAGGAAACAAGAGACAAACAAATAAAATTGAGTAAAAAAAAACAATATTTTTTTTTCTCTTTATTTTGCTCTCTTTTTCATTGTTTTTATTTGTAAGTTAATAAATTTCTAGTTGTAATTCTTTTGTTATACCTCAATTTTATTTTCTGTTGTCCTTTTGTAAAGGATAATATTTCTACAAGGATATTAAGGATATTATTGTATCAGAGTTATTATTTTAATTTTATTTTATTTTTTTTTTTTGTTAATGGGATAAGAGAGAAGAACAATTTTTATTTAATGGATTGTCGAATAATTTTTTTTATTTTTATTTTATTTATTTATTCTAACTATAGTTAAAAGGTTCTCTCATATTTCATACAATATACTAATTTATAAAATATATTTACATTATGTATATATTATGTATATGTGCTAATTAATATTAAAAAGAAATAAAATCCATTGTCCGTAAAAGTTAATTTAATTAGTTCGTATTTCAAAAATTGTATGTACAATACGATAATAGAAATTATTTTATGAAATACAAAAATAGTATTAGAAAAAGAAAATACGCCTCTAAAATATACTTTTGTAGATTTTATCAAAAATTTAACCCTTTAATTCCTGAGTTAAGTGTGCTCTTCTTGGTTAATATCGTAAAATATAGTGCGGAATATACATATTTGATTTTACTTAATTGAGTTTGCATATTTGAAATTAATTGAAAGAGGCGAGTTTCGAATATTGAAATACAACATTTCATTGCTTACAATAACACCAGCTCCTCCTACCAGAAACAAATTTTGGGAGTTGAATTGATAATATTACAATTTACGATAAAAAAAATGATAGTAATAATGGATTTCTTATTAATTGAATTTCATATACAGTAGAGCTTCTATATCTCGACTTGTGTAAATATCGGAAAAGTATTCGACCTTATTCCAAGATATTTCATATAAAGCATCTAAAATATATGATAGAATATTTGGAAATTTTAGAAGTAAACAGCAATATGTAGTTCGAGTTAGTGAAAGGTTCGTTTTATAGTGAAAACGAGATACAGAAATTTAACTGTCAGCATAATAATGCGGAGTTGAAATAATTTAGGCATAATATACAATAATTATAAAATAGAAAATAAAGGGTTAATAATCGAAATGAAAGAAAAATGAGTTTTAAATAAAGTTTTTAATAAATACATAACATCAAGGAAGAAAGGGTTAATAACTATTTTTTATATTTCTTTTTTGGAAACAATAAAATGAAATTCGATTTTAACTTTTATAATTTCTAACACAATAACATGTATGCCATAACCATAGTACTTGCCTACAATTAAAAATTCATGACATAAGAATAAACAAATTAATATTAATTGACAGATTCAATTAAATTGTTTGATTTACACAGACAATATGGTGAAAATTAGAAGATGGGAATACGGGAAACATAATAAAACCTCACGAAAAGCAATCAGTCAGATTGAATAAAATTACAAAATTATTAGAATTGCATATAAAAAACCTTCCACACCACGCACTTATGTAACGTTCCTTAAAATTTATTCCACAAATTTAAAGTAAGAATTAAAATTTAAATTCAAAACCCATGCTAGGGCATTTTCCAAAAATATTAAATTTAATTCAATCTTATGTTTTACACCAAAAATAATATTTTTATTCTCAAAAGTTACAAAACAAGGAACTGACTGAGTTTTACTTTCGAAAAATTTTCTGAATAACTTCAGTTATTCCAAGAGGAATTTCAATTGTCTATAAATGTAAGGATTATACAATTTTAAATAGCAAATAGTTTTCTGGATTTTTAATATTTTCTTTACTAAAAAATTTTCTCAATTTATAAACCCTTTTAACTCCTTAATCAAGAAAACTTTTAAGTTACTCATTTCAAAAATTTTTTCTCAATAACATTGGGAAATTTTTTGTTCCATTCAAAATATTAAATTGAATTCTATTCAAATTATTTTATTACCGGGAGAATGTTTGCATTAAAAATTACACCCCAATTCAATAAATGATAAATGATCAAAACTGAATTCAATTGGAAATAAAGAATAGCTAGTTTCATTTTTTCCTACTTTAAAATACAAAACGATAAATTTATAATCCTTTCAAAATAATTTGAAAAAGAAAATGTTAATAATTGTATTTAAAAGAATTTTAATCGACTTTTAAAAGGTGAATTGAATTTTAAATGCTCATCTAGAATGGTTTCTATTTAAGTATAGGTGAACATTTTAGGTAATTCAAAAATTATTTTTGTTATTTGATAAAATATTAGTTAAAAAATTCTACAGATTGAAATTTAATGTAAAAAAAATTAAAATATACCAATAAAAAATTCTTTAAAATATTAAATTTTTGATTAGGTAGATTTCTATGTTGACACGTCCCCCCATAGAGTATACTAAAAATGCACTTAGGTTATTTAGAACCGTTGTGATACTGCCGGATCACTCACTTTCTCGTTTATTAGAACCAGCCCGAGTTCTTCAGAAACCGGCCAAGAAAAAAGTAGAATCCAAGAAGTCTTTGCCTGGAAATTGCCAGTGGCGGACACGAGCATACCAGGTGGCTCACCGTCTCCTTCTCCTTTTCGTCACAGCAACTTTTACAGAAAACGTTTGCGGGGTGGCCCATTCTCCTGGCAGGATCGCCAATTAGAATAGTGTTAAAGTAATACACGTATCACTACGCCAACATCCTCCCGTCGAAGAGACATCAGATCCCTTGTGCGACGCCAGTCTATCTGTGGTCACGAGTTCCTTGTCGCGTTACATACTCGTATATGCGTTAAAAAAACTAAATTTATTTCTTTAAATTATAAAGTGCTATAAATTTAATATAACTAGCAAACGAAATTTCTTTCATAATTGCACCTAGTTACATAAGTACCTAAAAATAAATTGAATTCTTTGAATTCAAATGGAAGTATCTAAATACGGATACTTATTATGTTATGCATGTTAAATTTTCTACGGAAAATCAATTTATTTTCCTCAATAGATTGACTCTGCTTAAGAAAAAATTCACAATAGTTTCTACAGTTACAGTTACACAATAGTACAAACATCACTATGAAACTATTTATTTAGTATAAGAAAAGATACTCTACTTATAGGGATAAATGAAGGATTTCTTAAGATATTTTCTATTAGGAATTGTTCATGTTTAACAATAATATATTCACCAATTCTATATAAATTCCATCTGTACCAATTAAACTATTTACTATAGTTGAAAGGTACTGACCAATTCTTGAACAATATTCCCTATTACATTAGTGTACCATTAATTAAATTTAGCACCATTACTGCATTAGTTAACAGCCACAAAGAAAATAGTAGAGAAA